CACTTGAATTACATACTTGAGTCATTATAGCCTGTCAAAGAAAACAGCAAACAGCCCTGAAGTGGCCTACTGCAAGCTTCCAGGTATCATTAAATAAACAGAAAATGGTTTCTCTCTTAAAATGTGCTGTAGAAGTGGCACAAACACACAAGGCCATGTTTGTAAATTAAGTCACCACTTGTGCAAATGAGTTTTACATGCTAGCAGAAGGACTTAAAAAATATTAAGAAATAAACAAACACAGAGGCTATAGAGAAAGTAAAGCATACACCAACGTTATATTTATTAGTTACCCCTGAAAACTCTGTGGCTTTTATCTAAGTTAACTGTGTTTCCTTTCTAAACCCTGTAACACACGGACATGCAAGAAGACCTGATTATAAAGTATTGGTTTGAACTGCTAAGGAGAGTTGCCATCTATTTCCTTAATTCTAATGTATTTTCATAGTTTTGGTGTTACTGGACACTAACAGCGGCCAAAGGGAAAATTATAGGACTGCCATAAAAAATGATGGTTGATGATTTTGCTCAAATTTATGACATGAATGGAGTTTTGGTTTCAATCCTCAATTAATTTCTAGCTGGAATACCAGCATGCTGGCAACTCAGCTCTAGAATTCCTAGGAACCAAGCAGTGCCACATTACAACTCTCCATTTTGAGTTAATATTCATTGCAGTTTCGAGGTAGTTATTTTCCCTGTGCTTGGTGGGAAAGGGATGAAACAGGAAGTGTCTGAGAGCAGCTGTATGACTCCTAAAGAACTGCTGACCAACCATCAGCTCACGTACTTCTTACTAAGTAAGAACTTTCCTTTCCTAACTGATCATCTCTCATTCAGTTTATTCTCAGTAGGACAGTTCCCATTTTTTTTCTCCAGGTCAGTGACAAACCCAGCTCAATGCAGCATTTCTGAAAGTGTTTCTGACTGTGAAGTCAGATTTCTGGTATGGAGGGGCAGGACAGCTTTTAACATTACATCACATGAGCTGCAGCCAACAGCAGCAAACCATCCCGTTTCCCATTTCTCACCCCATTCTGTTTCAGACTCTGGCTGGAAAAGCAAACCAACAGTTCTAACTATGCAAGCCTGAGGCTACCCTTCAGCCGACCAGAAGAGGAGGCTCTGACACTGAGCAATGGGCTTTCTCCCTCGAGGGCGATGCTGTGATCCTGCAGCAATCCCTTACTACGAGGGGAAAATGCATTTTAATTTCCCAGTGTGGTATCAGTGAATGAGCTTAAAACTGATAAACGTAGGAGCCTCAAACGTTTGGGAAAGAATGTTGTGAATCTGCTCTATTTCCATTCTGAAATATTATTCTTCTCATTATAAATATTCAGTTTCTATGAAAGGCAAATACACCTCCTTAAATATCAGAGAAGTGAGAAACAAATTTATACTGGAAAATGCAATACCAGTTTTTCAGGTTCTTGCCTTTGACAGCCCATGTTCTATTTATCTATTGGTATGACCATACAGTCTTGATTCACCTTTTTGCACTCTGGGAGAACAGTTTTAATGCTAAATTAATGAATTTGACCTCCCAACATACCCAGGAAACAGTTCTTGCTTTAAACCTTTTACAGAAAGAAGGAAATAGAGGCACCACGACATTAAATGACTCTGCATTAAAAGACATCCAACAGCTTTTGGCTCAGCCCTATTCCATCCTATGCTTTATGCTTTTGTGCTTTACATAAAGTCAATTGTCTCTTTACCACACAGGTTCCCAGATTCAGCAGAAAACAAATCACAAGCATTCTGAGAACCTCACTGGGACTCTGAAATAAGTGTGTTTCATAAACAGGATGACATATAGTCATATTATTAAAGGAGCTGTCTTAATACCTTTATACAAAAGGACAACTATAAAAGCTATGCTTAGCCTTAAAGCATCAGCTCAAACATTTTGCACTACACTGAGCTGAATCCTCACCTGTATTGTGCCCTCCTCTGGAAAGATGCAGAAACTCACTGACCAACGATGGGTTAGTTTCAGTCCTTGGACTCACGCTTAGTCTTCTAGTTATTTGAATGCTTTCAGTATTAGTTATGCCTTTTCTTCCAGCTATGCCACACTGGTGCAAAAGACTTAACTAAATCTTTTGACTAAATCAAAAAGATTTGACTAAACTAAATGAAAACTGTTTCAAGTTTGAGATTATTGTCAGATCAGGAAATAGTGAAGCTGCAAATCACTCAGACTTCTATTTCCAATAATAGCCCTACTCCTCAGTTGATGCTCTACTTATGGTTGCAGAACCTGTGTCCTCCATAACATTGATCAGCTCAAGAAAGTACAGAGAGAATGCATGTTACTAGTGGAATGCAGAAAATGTTCTGTCATGGTGAAGAACTTGAGGGGTTTTATAACTTCCTTAAGGTTTTAATAAAAAAAGAAAAAAAAAAAGCTTATTTTTCTAAACCACAAAAAAACCATCACCATAGCAGCCAAGGAAGAAATACATGCTTGAAAATTAGTGGAAGCTGCAGTCAGATCAGCAGTAACATACAAGAGAATTTATAGTCTAAAGTAGGCACTGAACTTGCACATGCAGATTTTTTAGCTAATATTGCCATGCCTTAACCTTGGCTCAGAGAGTTGATGTTTGAGGACAGCACTGTCATGACTCTCTTGTAATGTAGTTTTTTGCTGGTATTTTGAAATGCAATCGAATTCATTTCATGTGAACCATCAGAGTCTAAACACTGTCAAGTAGAGGTGACAGCTTCTGACTACATGTCAGAGAATTCTTCATTTCTACAGTAATACTGTTACTAGAAATAAAGGGAAAAACAAAGAAACCTTGATTTTTAAAGTATATTTACTGTAATATACCTTATTGCAACCTCCCCATACCATTGTTTCTATCAGTAAAGACTTTTTATTCTGGATTCTGAGACTTCTTCAGTCTTCGTTCCCCTCTGCACCACCCTCAGAGAACTTTTCCTCAGTTAAAAATGACTGTTATCCACTGCTGTACACCAGTGACACAGACAACACTCGTCTGGACCTGCAAAGGGTGCCCCAAGTCCCCTACTCCACTGCTACATCTTCCCCCTGGGCCAAAGATCCTACACCTAAGAACACCTTTCTGAATACTGCTAGATGCCCCATTTCCCACCATACCTTCTCCTAGATGCTACCCTTTTCCTCCAGAAAGATTCCAGTGAATCTTTTTTCCAGTTGCAAGTACTGCTTGTAGCCCATTCAGGATAGACTGCCTCCAACAGCTCCCACAAACCTTTCCTAAGCTCTGATGCACAGAGTGCTCAAATGTGAGACAAAGTGCTCCTGAAAAAACATAGAGTCCTTCAATCCTCATCTCTCTCTGAAGGATTAAAATATGAAATGTAAAGTGACCTGATAGCTTTCATGCTAAAGGACCTTTAAAAAACCCTGCAGTGTGTGGAATAAGCTTTTCTATAGGGTAGATAGTAGAGGGAGAAAAATGTTTTGTGTGGTAAATACCTCTGAGAACCTATGACAGTAATTAAAAAATTGACACTTGCCAGGGAAGAAATGCACCTAATACAGAGTCATGAAAATCTGATGTATAAAAGGTTTTATGTGACCTGTGGAGGAGGTAGGCAAATCTGTCACACCTGCAGAGGTGCTAAAGATAGTTGTCAGCCTTGTGTCAGTGAATATCTCTGAAGAGACATGTCTACCTGCTGCCTTCAAGACTAACAGCATTCTGTGTAGTTCTTGAGGGAAAATACTCTCTCCCCCTTCCCAACCCTATTACTTTGCTGGTCCAGTTGAACATTAGTAACTAAAGGAATGATACATCATTTTTGTTCTAAGAGTTTCACAGTCCTGTTTGGTGACTCTTTCTATAACTTACTCCAAGGTAACTTTTATAAAATCATGATATAAGCAGAAACAACTCTGAGCAAGATAAATTCTTAATTTCATCTTCCCTTGCCAAAAAGGTTTACAGGATCTGGAGCAAAATAACATTATTTCTGACTCACCTAATAAATGGCCAGCCAGGTTAATTTTAAATTTTACCAAATAAAATTCAATTGAATTATTCTCCCTAAGTGCATTCTCTTCTCTTAGTTTGACTAAATTTTCAGAGGTTACAGGGATGATATTACCTTCTGAGCACTGAATTTAGAAAGCATGGCATTTATAAAAATTACTTTAAATTGATCTGTGGAAGTCAGAACTGCCAAATACAGTAGAGCATCACGTAATTCCCCCTGTGTTTTCATCTTATTTATACTACATGTTAGGGATGAAACTGGCTCTCACAGAAGTGATAAAGCTGCAGCAATGGAGACTTTACCTCCTCTCCATTTATCTGATTAAATGTCTCAGCAACACAAGTGTTCTGCCCAGTGCTTGAGCCTAAGGATATACACCATCTTTTGGGTATCCTTGCTCCTCAGTGCCTCCAAAGGTACAGATGAGTTGCCAGGTACAGTCCATGAAGGCTGTTTATCCTAATGCAAACATTTAATTTATGGAGCTTTGACAACAGAAACCAAGCCATCCCTCTCCTCTGCTACTTGCTGCTATTAAATTTACTTATCCCCTTTACTTGTTCTTCTCATGTCTTTTGAATACTGTGACAAGAATCCAGCATGATGCAAGCTTTCAAATACCCTAGTGTCCTCTTTCCAAATCAGTGTCTTCTTGGGATTTGGGTACACTGAGGCACAGTCTCATGGTTTTCCCCCAAGAATCTATAAAACCAAATGTATATTTCTGAGAAGCTTTGGTAGCCTCTTGCAGCCTAGATGAAAAACTGCTCAGAATGGGTTAGACCACATCACACCAGAGGACAGTGGATGCTTTGTTTCTGCTAATCAGAAATTAGCAAAATATAGATCCCACTTTGTGTTGTGACAGTTTTGCTGCCTGTGCATTCATTCAATGTTTATTTATCTGGGGTGGGCAAAATACATTTCCTGTGGTAGGTATTTACCTTCACTGTGGGAGATAAAAAATGTTATTAATTTTGGCTAAGGAGAAAAGTGTCACATACCTGCTGGTGGGGAATTACAGCCCTGGGAGATTCAATTCTGGGTGCTGTGCTTGAAACTGGCACTGGACGTTTAGACCTGGTGAGCCAAAAGAAAACAAACAAACAAACAAAAGATTAGCAACCTGAACTCTTATTTTTTAGCTATCATTTCCTGCAAAAATGCTGCTTCATCAGGAGTGAAAGCTAAGCATAGCCTAGACTTTTTCCAATGATCATTCTGCTTTTTCTATATCCTCATTTACAAAGGTCTTAAATATGAGGAAAAGTTTGATACAGTTTCTCTGACTGATGAAAAGCCACCAGTTATGGAAGCAGCCTCTGACTTGGGAGATCATCCATTTTCCAGTACCTTGTGACAAATGAAAACTACACTTTCATAGATGACAATCAGGCACAATGAGATATATGCAGCTTTGGGCAGCACTCTGGAAAAAGGAACTTAGAAGTGTTCTAAAATGCAGAGACTAAACTTCAGTACTGGGGCATCTCAAGATCTCGTTTAACAGCTCAAACTGCATAGCAACTGCTGTCATTTAAACCTCTCTGCAGAAGGAAACATGGGCTTCAACTAAGACAGTTCAGTTTCAAAAGAAGTAGATCCCTACTGCATTGCCCACACTCCACTCCAGATGCCTGCCTTTCACCTGGGTGTGGCAAATATACACACAAGATCATTTCAAACACAAAAACAAACCCCACTGAAATGCTTTCAAAACACATAGTTTGCCTCTTCATTGGAACATGACAAATAAAGCACAGTGACAAATGCAAACTGGAGCACTCCAGGATGCTCAGGTAAGTGAAGATGTACTTGTGGGAGGTGTTGTGAGAACCTGCATAGCCCTGAACTTCCTCCTGAATCCTTTCCACTACACACGGGATTCCCAGAGAAAGTGAAATGAAAACATGTAAAAATAGTCAATAGAATCAGAATTATGCAAGTAATTATGCAAGTAATATCTAATTGCCAGTGTACAGATCAGGATTATGCCTGGAATTATCATCTTTAAAAACCCCATTTCAAAATTAGGACAGGTATAAAAATGCAATAGCAACACTTAAAAGCATATAAATCAAGTAGAGGTGACTGAGACACATGGAATTGTTTGCTTTAGACAGGAGATGAATAAGGGAAGACATTACAGAGGCTCAGAAAATAATGAATGTTAGAAAATAAAGCTACATTCCTGGACATTAAGTGAAACTGAAAAGACAACACATATTAAATAGATGAAGGCAAATATTTTTTGTGAGAGTACTTGATTAACCTGAGGTGAAATTCATTGTTACAAGACACCATTGAGACTATGAGAATAGCAGGATAACAGAAAGGATTAGAAATTTATACTTACAACAAAAAAACCCAACAGCTGCTTTAGATGGGGTAAAACTAAGCAGCCATATAGATTTTCATTTTTCATGGCACAGCTTAAAAGACTGACAGTGACAGACCTCCTGTGTTAGGCTCATGATTTCCTTACTGAGAGCTGCCTTGCACTTTGCTCTGTAATACTGACCAGTGGCACCTACCAGAGACAGAAACTGAGGTACACCAAAACTGGGCTCATCTATAGTGGCAATCCCTACATTAATACTTAGTTTCACACTGAGCTGTGCATTTATCTTTTGCTGCCAGATATAAAATACTTCCATCAGAAGGAATAAACAAACTAGGAAAAAGGAATTATACTTACAGGAACTGAAAGATTTCCATATAGAAGGTATGGAAATTATGCTACTTAGAGATCTGAAAGGTGATGTAATAGATGCCTACCTTACAAGATATTATGAAAACTGACACAGTTTGAGGAGATAACAAAAACTGTCATTTTGTCAAACAATGGGTAGTTAACTCATGAAATTCACTGACAAAGTACTCCTGAAACAACAGGCTAGAAAACTGTAAAAGGCACTAATGTTGCTACCCACAGTTGGAACACACCACAACCTGCTCCCTAAGACTTAAATATCTGAAAAATACATACCCTCAAATTCTAAAAGAAAAGCTAATCACTAACTGCCTAAAAAAGCCTTTCCCCATGTGAATTACTAACTTGTCTTTCCTCAGGACTATTTTAGCTTAAAAAGAGAAACAATAAATCATATTCATGCATGTGTACCACGAAAGACAGCAAAGAAAGAGAAAGAAGGGGTGGGGGGAAAGAAAAAATCAGCTGCAGCCCAGGACAGAGTCAGAATTGCTGAAAACTGACTGTAAGAGTTTATGAACAGACAAAGATTTGAGGACAGATTCTGATCCTCTTTCCATTGGGGTCATTTTTGGGCACACACAGTGATTTTGGTGCAGTTATGTGGAGGGACCTGGGCATGCTCAAGACCACAGCCAGGCACAGCAGACTCAGTGGCCCCTCAACTCCATTCACTGATGATGAATTTTTGTGCCAAAGTTGCTCAGCACAGTAAACTTTGTTTGTCAAATACACAGGTATAGCAACCAACCACATAATGCATGTTTGATGCATAACTGGAAAGTATTTGTATTGCAGCAAAGATATTTATTTACCAGACCACCCCATCACTTCTGTTGTTTATTGTATCTCTCTTTTTCACTCAATACCTGACCACAGAAGATGATATTAAAAAGCTGTATTTCTTCCACATTACTGATAGACTACAGCTGTCATTCACAGTACTATTCAACCATGATTTTTATTTCATACTGACTTTGAAGTTTCAAGAGGTTACTTTAAAACAATGAGGTTTGTACAAAACTCTGCCCTAGATGTTTATAGCTTTGATACTTAAAACTAGAATGATGACGCTTGCCAGATTTAACAGAGGCTTGCACCAGAGAAAAGGGCAGAAGAGGTGAAGTCAGTTTGTGGAATCAAAGTGTATGCACTTAGAGAATAAAGTTAACATTTACATAAGAGCCATTACTCCTATGGGGAAAACATCTGCAAGTTCAGGACTTTTTCTTTTTTTTTTCTGCCTCTTTTGCTAGATAAATCAAATCTTGCAGCAACACAAGTTTGCTTTTCAAGTGATCATGCTGCTGTTGTAATCGTGTCTGTCCAGATTTACATTTTAATCCACTGATTGCACAATTATTTTATTCCAGACACTCAGGGAAAGCACTTGCTTAGTATGGCTGTGAGGAGAAACAAGTCCAAACTTCATAAACGACTGTGATAAGTTTGGATTTGATGTTGAAATGTTCGATCAGTAGTTTTTCTGAAGCAATTACTTTGATTTTAACTTTTAGACATTTTCTTCTGCATTCTCAAAGTTAATAATGGAAACAAAAGCCTTACTTCAAGATGAAAAATCAAAACAGTTTCAATGATGGCCAAATACATCGTTCTGATATTTTTTTCAAATCTCCCCCTTCCCACAGACATACTTCCCCTCTCCCTCATTATTGCTTCTCTCCTAATGAAGATCACAACCAAGATGGATGTATTTTTGCAAAGCAGGTCAATTTTGATTGCACTGCTGGTGTGACTGTCAAAATTTCTACTTGTTCCCACCTACCTAAATGTAACTTTAATTGAAGAGCACTTGACTTCAGTCCTCATACCTTTGCACTCACAAAAAAGGTTCATCTGGAGTCAGCTGCATTAAGAGGAGCTGTCTGCCCAAGGAAGGGCTGCAAAAGAGTTCTGTAATGCACTATCAGTTTAACCCATGTCTTCAGAGGAGCACAATACTCTACTTGTAGAGAGGTGACATGATTTAAGAGATAATGGCTCCTTTTCATCTTCATGTGGCTTTTCTGTATTACATATCTTCACCAGTCAGTGTTGACTTCTCTTTTCTAATTCTTAGGACAGCTAAAACCAACATTAATTTTCTTAGAGCAAGCTTTTGCTTGCATTTTGTTACACATGAGCATTTACTTATACCTTATTTATCTTAATATTTCAACCACTAGAAAATGAAAAGGGGTCAAGTGTATGGAAAGGTGATAAAACAGATTATCTTAGGGTTAAAAACATTTAGAAAACATTTTACATACTTATCTAATTGAAAGTGAGTCATTCTGAAGTGGAGTGGGTAAGCACATAGCAGGATGCAAAACAACAGAGCATGCAGAATTTGGCTTCTGATACAGATCTGTTTTATTCCTAACAGCTGGGAGTGGGGGGTGGGTGTGAGAGACATATAAGGGACAGACTAAATATTACTCATGCCTTTCAATCTGAGGTGTCCATTTAATAAGTGCTGCGATCAGTCATGTTCCAGTTCAATCTTCAGCTAAACAGTGAAGTAAATAGCCAAATAGAAATTTCTTGTAAGTCTTGTACAGAAAATCTTGAGTCTCTTGATACCACAGCTTAATTCTCTGAGCCATGCCTGGGACATGAGCAAACAGTCTTGGTGACTCCAATGTGAATCAGCAAGACAAGTGCCTGAACATTTCCCAGTACTTCAAACACAACTGTGATCAGTGTGGGGCTAGGGTGAGAGCTACTTTCCCTCTCGTAGGATATAATCTGTGCCTGTGATAAAACTGAAGAGTATTTCCACCAGCAGTTTTGCTTGCTATATGTTAATGGTGAATGCAAATATTAGCATTTGTCTGGATGACTGATTTGTTAATTATTTCCCTGCGTTGTGCTGCACTTGGATGGCAAGACAGGCAATTATGCTTTCCAGGCCTAACGCTCATATCCACAGCAATATGCAGACAAAAACTTCTTATGCACAAATGGCACCAGCCTAAAGAGAAACTGCTGTCAAAAAAAAATCTACTGAAAGAATTTTCTTGGAAGTATGAAATACTTTTTTTCCTTTAGAAGGGAGCTGAGTCAAGAGCAGCCACGAACATTTTGGGATAGAAAGGGAAAGGGAAGAAGCGTTGGAGAATTTTGTGAAAGGAAGGGAAGGAAGGGAACCAGAGACACTACGTGTAAAGCCAAGATTTTTGAAAAGCTGCATGTATTTAAAAATGTTGGAGAAGCAAATTCTATTCTCCTGGCCTACCTTTGACCCTTTCTACTTCTATGGCATCTGCACAGTGCCTGTTGAATCTTAACTCCTCCCCTCCCTCCTGCCATGCAAAATTCCTTCTTTCTTGAACTGCCCCACATTTTGCTCTCCAGCCCATTCCTC